AGATGCTCGATGCTCGTGGCAGGAGCTCACGTTAACGCGCCACGTCTGGAGAACACACAACGCGGAAAACGGTGTGTATACGCGCTCTCCAGACAAGCTCCGAATGCTACTTGACTCAATCAATACACATAAGCCTCGGACACATGAGACATACTATCTCAGTTCCACCTCACGTAACTTGTCATTTACGGATCGTCGCAGGATGCGTTTTGTAGAGTTGATTGTATTTTATTATCGTTTATTTATTCAGTGAGTGATGTGTAATATACGAGTATAGGTATGCTTTTACACGTGGACAAAATAACACATAGATGTGGGTTATCAGGTTCAGAATGCAACACAACAGAGATCAGGTCACTCACTCACATATGAACTTATGACTCTGAGTAAGGCCAGATAACTTTGGGGCACAGCTGTCGTCCTAGAGTGTACTACGATATGTTAGTGCGAGTGCGACACCGACGCCTAGGGCACCACACTCGCGTGAAGCGCGCGCTCATGTAGAGCGACTCAGACCGACAGGGAGCTACAGCGTCCTCAAGAGACGTTAGGTTACGACAGCGGGTCAGATGTAAGCACACACATATTAGGCGTAAGATATATGATATTGCATGTGTAGCACCAGTGAACAGACGAGCGTCCGTAGCCGTTCACGTTTCAATCATTACCAGCCACACGAGCTCACATTGACGAGCGCCACAGTACCATCACTGCTCCAAACGACTATACGCGCGGTGCGAGTCAGTCACCCGTAGCTCCGCGTAGAACAAGCGACCAATTCTACTCAGTCGGCATGTCCTACTGAGAACCGCACGCGCGCATTTCATCTCCGTCAGGTATAGCGCGCGATGTCGCGAAGAGCCGCGGGCGTTCTACGTCGGCGCGGGCGTATGAGTCCGGGTTTGATAGACGTCCGCATACGCATGACAAAGGAGAGCGTCCGGCGGAGATGCGCGGCGCGGAGCAGCGTACCTCGTCGAGCGTGGGTTCTCGCTCGAGCATCACGGACAATGGCGTTCAGCGTGGCTCGCGACACAAAACTGCGCCCGCGTCCACGCTGCATCAAGCCACAGCACGTCCGTCCAAAGGTCTAGATTCTCCATGACTACAGCCGATGCGAAAAAAACACAATAAAATAATTTGGCACAAACACTTTACGAAAGTACTGGGCCACGATAGATCCACTTCACCATGCCACATTCTTGCAGTTCCAGCGAAATGGCCACCTGTCACAGAGAGAGAGAAACTCTGTCTCATAGAGAGGAGAGAGAAGAGCTATTAAGGGTTCTCCATGAGAAAGTTCACGCAGTGCGGTCATGTCGTGAGGCACTCCTTTGGAAGTCCCTAAGTTTCATCGCCACGCTGATTGACCCTCGCCTAAATCTGCCCAGATTACATTAAATATTAGACTCTAGCCTTATCTCGTTCTACACCATTCGAGCGATTAAGAACTAGTACACAGTAGTACGATTTCACGTGGTGCTCCGTTCGCTCGTTGCGCATAATGCACACTCCGATTGATACGAATATATACGACGTATAAATATATACCCTCGGAGGCCTTACTCCGATCTGCATTTGTGGAGGAGAATGGTGGGTGGTGCCGTCCCGCTCATGTGGTCGCTACAAAATTCTCACTGGCACGATAGTCGACGTGTCACCGGAAGCTACCATCTCGAGGCTCTGGAGTTGAAGGATTTAGTCCATCTAATAGCCCCAGGTAACAGGCGATGCTGCGACGACTGTAAGTCGGCGTTTGATGAGCCTTCGTCACCATCAGGATTAGCGTTCGCTCAGCTGCGGCCTTAGCTTATCTGCGTTGCGTCATATACATGTAGAATACAAGTTACGAATTAATATAGATATATCATTACATAACGTCGTGACGTCAGGGTTCTCGCACACTTGTGTACTAGTCCTCTATCGAGCGGATCGGCCTAAGGCTGAGTCCTACGACACGCTATGCAGAGAGAGCAAGACGAGTCTGGAAGTGAAGATAGTATGGGAATAATGATGACTACTAGGTGGTTTGGGACTAGGGCTTGGGGCGGCGCTGTGGGTGCAGGGCTGGTGCTTGGTGCGTTTGCGTGTCCTGCTTGCTTGCTTGCGTGCTGCTGTCCGTACTGGCCTGCTTGCGCGTGCGCGACTGGATGGTTGTGTTGGTGCTCGTTGATATAGTAGCCTGAACCTGCTGTCCTGCACTGAAGTGTTACGTGATGGGTGCGCTAGGTGGCTGGGTTGAGCATTACTGACTACTACAAATAATAATGACAATATAACGATACATGATACACAAAAGCAAACCCATAAACGAATACACAGGGTTATACAAGACTGGCAGATTCCGTTACCGCAAACGAGAGAGTCATATTATTCTGCTTACCAGCAACGTGTCGTGCGCGAGTGCAGACCCAATACTGTACAACATACACGCAACAAAGCGCGCAGCTGCGCGGTCGAGCTGACCTGGCTGAAGGACTGTAGAGCAAATGAGACGCAGGACCTTCTGCGTCGCCAGCATGTTCTCTCACTCGCCGCGCTCAGGAAGGAGCGAGGCTGAGGCCTGGCCCGCCCAACCATAATGCGACGACACTTGGCACGTTTGAGCGACCGGACTCGCGCGCGCCGTATCGAGACGACGCGTCGCACGTTGACTCCAACGCTACGTGACCGCAAGTCGTCGCTGCATGCGCTCTCTGAACGCGAACGACTGTGCAGGCGGTGTCAGACACCGGCATTTCTAGCGCTCGGGAAATCGTACGGAATCACCACGTGAGGTTGAAATAGCAGGAAGTCCTCGGACGTCGTGGTTAAAATCATATATTTAACTCTGTGTTATTCTTCTCATCAATCCGGAGTATGTAATATTAAACGAATACTTCATTATCAAGTCATATCTGAGGTAATATGAGTTAGAGCGAGGGAAGAGAATAGATGTGCTAAGTCTGGAAATGATGACGCCAATCTATGTCAGTCGGTGCGGGCGAGTAATTTTTCTATCATGTGTAGCTACGACTACTGTACAGAGAACTCTTCTACGCGTGATGTCTTACGCATGCCACAGCATACTGACGCTCCGCAGTCAGCGCTGCTGAGACGTCATGTACGGATAGCGCAGCAGACGTTACTAGTATGACCAGAGCTCGCGTTGAAGCAGACTGCGCACCTCGCGGCGCGACCGCACGGCGGAGCCGCTCCCTACTAGCGCAGGGCGCGCGCGTCATCTCACCGTAGGGGCCCGCGTTGCGCTGGCTCGGATTGCGTCTCCGTCACTGATCTGGACCCGAGGAAACGCCGCAGAAGGCGCGCAGACTCGACCGAGTGGCGTCGGGTGGACGGCACCGTATAACGCTGGCGTCCCAGCGCTCATGGACGCCCGACACGTCTGTCAGTACGGGCCCGCCCTCCAGGCTGTAAGCGTACTACTCCGACACCAGCAGCTGCTTCTTGGGGCTCGATGTATCTGTTTCCTCAGAAAGTCGTCGCGCTTCGGTTGATCTAAAAAAAAACACGCCACGATGAGTAAGCGATTCACATTTCATAGGAACTCATTCCCCTTTTTATTCGAAACTTTATCAGATACTATTATAAATGAAAAAAAAATTAAAAAAATAAAAGCGTCCGCATCGTACTGACGACGATCGCTACGATGGCGCACCTATGTCGTGCGTTAGACAGGCCAGCAGCTTGACGAGCGATTGCGACGCCGCATACGGGCCTCCGTCACTAAGGCAGCATCTTGGTTCGACTGACGGCCCTTCTCTACAGTCTTCAGCCAAGCACTGACAGCAGCTCCCTGGCCTGAGCAGGGCTGATCCCCTGCAAAAACAAACGCCCGCCACGCTACGTTGGTAGTGTCCTGACGCGATCGCCCACGCCCGCTCAGTACATTGTCACCGCCCCCCCACACACATCACACACACAACACACACACACACCACGCCACATATGTCGTCAATCTCCAGTTGTAAGTTAGCACATGTCAGCAAGATCAAGTGCAATACAGTTTGTATATATATATATATAACTTCGCTAACTTTATGTATATAACATGTTACCATATACATACACTACATGTATGATTTATTTAATACATCGCCAATCTCTACTGGCTCATTAATCACATTCTATCAAGATGTGTGTGACGCATGCGATGCTGCAGCGACTCCATCTCCTCCAAAAACAGACGACTAATTAAAGCTACACTGACATGAAGCATCCCTTAACGAACCCGGGACGCTGTGGCAACTCACGATGCAGCAGAAGGCTGCATTTCATGCAACAGAGGCAGGTAACGACTAATGTAACGCTAACGACCGCGCATCCCTACGACTCCGGAGCGCTTCTAGACCACTCACGACGAGAGAGGCTGCCGTCATGCAGAGCAGGTTAGGCGTTTCGCCACGGCCGACGTCGACGACTTCGAGCGCGATGCCGGTCGGAAGAAACGCTACGAGCTTGTCCGGCACCGCGCGTTAGGTGAATCGCTCGCACCACGCTGGACAGCTGCCCGCCAGGCGCAGCTGCACCAGCGTAAGCCCGGCGTGCACTGAAACAACGACAACATGCAGAGTGTGACAAGAACGCGCACGACGTCCATGTTACGTGTTGTCGATTACACCATTTGTTATTATTATTATTATTATTATTATGATAAAGATGCATGAATATTATTATTATTATTATTACGCAAAAAAGGCTTTGATTCGTTCTGGAGAAACTTGCTCGTGCTGCACAAAATTCTTAAAGGGATACAGGAGGGATGCCGGAAAGATGCGGGAAGGGATGCTGGGATGTTTGGGATGCTGGGATGTTTGGGATGCTGCGGCAGTTTGGGGATGCTGGGATGTTTGGGATGCTGGGATGTTTGGGATGCTGGGATGTTTGGGATGCTGGGATGTTTGGGATGCTGGGATGTTTGGGAATACAGGCGCGGGATGCTGTGGGGATGCTGGGATGTTTGGGAATACAGGCGGGATGCTGCGGGGATGCTGGCCTACCTTCCTGCTGCAGCAGAGGAACGAACATGTCGGCGACGGCCGCGGTGAGGCTCTGAGTCGCGCTCCCGGCCACCGCGTTGTTCGACAGGCTGCCGATGCCGCTCAGCACGCTCGTACGCTGCGCCGCCAACGACAACTTACCCTCGGCTCCTGCAAGCACAAACAATGACAAGACGCTCGACGATGAGACTCTGGTAAACCAGGGTAACACGAGAAGCAACGACGCGGCTCTGGTAAACCAGGGTAACACGAGAAGCAACGACGTGGCTCTGGTAAACCAAGGTAATACGAGAAGCAACGACGCGGCTCTGGTAAACCAGGGTAACACGAGAAGCAACGACGTAGAAGCAACGACGCGGCTCTGGTAAACCAGGGTAACACGAGAAGCAACGACGCGGCTCTGGTAAACCAGGGTAACACGAGAAGCACGCGGGTGAGTTCGCCGAGTGGTTCCTACGAGGATGTTACGAGCTGACGGAAACTAAAATATCAGCTGCTGTATATTATGGGCTTTTGTAAGAACAGAGTAGTTTTACTTTTGTATAAAGTGATTTTTATATTGATTTGTATAGAGTATTTTTGTTTTTATATTAGAGGCTGCTGTAACTATAACCGAAACTGTTGTATAATATGCGCTATCGTAAGCATCTTAAAAAGCTGTTGTAACTACTATAATAACTCCTGTTGTACATCACAGGACGTTGTAAGCTGTTGTAACTACTATAATAACTCCTGTTGTACATCACAGGACGTTGTAAGAATGGTTAGAATTATCGCAATGATATCAAAGAGCTTCGTAGCGTTACCAGGCTGCTGTTGCAACTACAATATGCCGTGTACTCTCACCACAATTGTATCACAGGCGGCTGTTGGCACGCGAATGCGTTGTCGTGGCAACACGACGGTGACGCCTACCGTTTAAGATGCTGAAGTAGTGGCGTGTGAGCGATTCGATGGCATCCGGATCACTGCACTGCTTCGCGAGATGCTTGGTGGCGACGCACGCTTCCTCGCGACTCCCCTCGTCCTTCGAGTAGAGGTTCGCTGCAAAGAACAACGCTACGTTCGAACCGCGCGTATCACGACGTTCCGAACCGCATGTATCACAGTGTTCCGTACTGCATGTATCACGGTGTTCCGAACCGCATGTATCACAGTGTTCCGTACTGCATGTATCACGGTGTTCCGAATCTCGCCGTACGAACGACGAGGTATCAGAGAACCGCGCAAACGAATGACGTCACAAACTAGTGAGAACGTCGCCACAAATTCAGGCACGACCGAGGATGCAATAGATGATATCCGAACCTGTATGGAAGGGTCACCCAAGGGAACCCCTGAAAGTGTCCCTCACGGACAAGTGTATTGTATGGAGGTGGCCACTAACAGAGCTCGAGTCTCATCACTCTATGACGGAACATAATATAGTAGAACTCGACTTAAAAATAATATGTATTGCAATTCTCTTACTTCCGATGTTTTTTCCCAGGTCGGATGCATACGCACTCAGGTCAATGGAAAGTCCGGACAACAGATGACCCACGCCTGCAATGGAAACGTGACAACCCTATCACCGAGTGAAAACCATCGCTATTTTAACATCTTCTGCTCGAACCGTAAGACAATTCAATCAAGCAAGGTCACCCGTCTTTCCTCGAGCGCTGGGAGAGGACCTACCTTCGAGAATGATCTCAGGACTTCTGAGCATTGCCTTCGTCACGGCGGGGAGAAAGATGCCCTTGAACTCCTCGTGAGTGGCATGCCGCAGCAGCCACTTGCTCCACTCCTTAGAAAGATCATTTACAATGAGACACGTCACAACCGGCAACGCACGTGCACACGCGTACACGCACACACACACACACACACATGTACACATGCGCACAAACGCGTACACGCACGCACGCACGCACGCACGCACGCACGCACGCACACACACACACATGTAATCACTCTAATGCACAGCATACACACAGTTCTACGCAAGCTGTCACACAAAAGTCTGACCTATCGATAGGAACATTTTAGAAGAACTTGTCAAACAGTCGAGCGATCATCTATTAAACCCAGTCGATCACTGACACATACTGGCAAGAGTGAGCTATTCAGTGTGTGTGTGTGTCGTGAGGATTCCAGATATCTTACCAGGATGTGCACCGGTGGTCTAGTCTTGCTGCTCAGTACAACCTTAATGTACACCTCAAGGAAACGCTTCTGTAAAGAACAACGATGCGGGCGAGTCAGCAAAACACACGACAGCTATCCGCGACAGCTACCCACGCAGACACGCAACTCACACTGCCACTACACGGTGGGTGCCATCAACAGATCGTATGTGAGTCAGCGTCACATCGCCGATTGCACAGCCGGCAACATCGCTAATGCGGTCACGAATCGGTACGTGACGCGCAGCGACAACTCACGTCGCACGTGATACAAACGCATCATCCATCTCGCGCTACCGCAAATGCTAAACGGTGATCACGATAGTGACGACTTGAACAGAGCGTGCAAGAGTCACTCGTTCCTGTCACTACAACATAGAGAAGTGGAGAATAACATAATATCTGCCTTTCCCTTTCGCATCAGGCATCGGCAACAAGGACTATGCGTAGTATGCAGCAGACGTCCTTCGCGGGACGTTACATTGTTTACCTTGTAGTTGCTGATGGCAGCAACGTTCTTCGTCTCGCTCCAGAATCGCATGAGACACGCCAGCATGCAGACTCCGCTCATCCCGGCGTCGCCGGCTAGCATCGCATCACCGTACAGCTCAGCCGTCCCCGGCACCTACAGCAGAGAGTACACAGAGTCACACGTAATGTTGTTAGCTGGCATCTACTACAACTCAGCTGTAAACAACACATCTAGACAGAGAGTACAGAGTCACGGGTAACTTCGCTAGCTAGTATCTAAGACACAGCTGTAGCTAGCACACCAAGAGCAGACATGCCAGTGTCACGATCATGTGAAGCCTCGTTAGCTGGCATCTACAAGTTAGCTCCACCCGTCACATGTAAACCAGACACACCAGTGTTGTCATGACCCCTAAACATCCCCGAGGAAACGCGAAAGCCAGGCTTTTCTCTATCCCTCTTTCGTTTAACTCGAGCTGAGCATTTAGGGAAGGAATACCTCGGAGGGACATACCCTGCCTCTTCATCCGCGAGCGTAAGCCTGCACTCACCATCTTCCATATTCGTCGTAGTTTGTTGTAGGCGCTCTTCGAGAGAACGCTCTTACGCGCCGCGAGACTCCCGTCCAGTAACTGTGCTTGTAGCGCCACCTACATGGTATAAGATTAAAGATCCGATGATCGCCACACACTGTCGTGCAAGCGGAACGGCGACATAGAATTCTATTTTTTAAATAAACATCCGCCCGCGCCCACTAATCTCTCGAATCCCACCTCGCATGTTATCTAGACAATACAATACAATACGTTATTGTACAATACAATACAATAATTTCACTGCAGCATCCCCGCTGCTCTAGCTCTTAGATTCGTTTAAATCGTTGTGCACTGCGAAGAATCGTCACGTTAATTAAAGCTACTTGCCAGTTTGGTGAACGACTGCTCTTTACAATCATCCGCGCTCTTGAACAGGCTTCTACAGACGATGGCCGTCCACACGAGAGCGCTGAGGCATAGGCGCGACGTCGACTGACTGTAGCGTCAACACAACGAAAGTTGCACAAAATATTTACACCAACACAATCGCACGTGTAACCCACATCGATGCTAGTCTACTTTGATTCGTAAAGTCCCAATACCTTATCGTCCCAATACCTGTGTCGTAATCGCAAAACCATATTTGTCAGCTCTATTAGGCTTCGTGGGGGCAGTGTACGAACTCCGTAACAGGCATAACTAAAGTTGTACAAACGTGTACAATGTACAAACCCCGACCGTAATCGAACTGCAGTTTCGTACTTTACTCTTTGGTCGCCTTGCAGTACTCACGTTGCAACCGACGTCTGCTTGATTTCGGACAGGACACTGGTCATGCAGGACAGCGTCGCCGGACCGTTGCTGGACGCCAGAGATACAAGAACTTTCGCCACATACTGTCGCGATTTCTTGTCCTGATACCTGACAATGCCATGAAATTCAAATATTTATTACACTACGTTTGAGCATCAAACCAATGCAGTGGTGATATCGAATAAATTAAGCAGAGTCGCAGAATATGTTCGATGAAAAACACAAACAGTGTAAGATTTTGTGAGAGGAATACACAACAAATGATGACAATATGAATTACATAAGGTGACGTGCTGCAGTTAAAACACAGTTGCGAACTTACCTTGACAGGGTTAGTGAAAGGGTCTTCAGTATTCCTTTTACGGTATTGTCTTGAACATCTATATAATATAGAATATTGTAATACACAGAGAAGAAGCTGGCCACGTGAGTGTATTATGTGTTGCCTTAACAAATATCACATTCATTATCAAATTTATATCCAAATATATAACAACTATTTATCTACCTTTTCCATTCTCCAAAAGTGATGTCACAGCCAGAAGGATTCTTTCTCTTTCTCGCCTCTTTGATGTTGTGATTTTCAACACCAATTCCTTCAGGATATCACTTGGCTAATAAAACACACAGTTATCAGTCATACTTATATCAGGGTTCTTCGCAATCCTCTAATTAAACACCGGTTCCAATATGCCTTCAAAGCTGAAGCTAATTTGGGACATGTGTCATATTCCTTCGTCCTTGTCTTACCTCCCTAATCAACATGCCTTAATTTCCAGCTGTTTAATTTCGACAATCTCACCACAGTCCCACCCACCTTAACGTATGTCTCCGAACCGATCGAGTGTACCTGTGTATTGGGGGCTGCTTATGACACGCGTATATGACTCCAATTGGTTAAACCTGCCAAGCCTCCCGCGCCCTCCCCACTCCATCCGTCCATAAACAGCATGCCTTCTCAAATATCCTGCTTACAGTGCTACTAGTTATATTGCTATGTCCTACAAACGGTAATTGTTTAATTTGTTAAGTAGCAAGTATGTTGTCGTGTATTTATTTCACTTTACATGAAGGGGATGTACACGTGATGCATGATGAGACCCGGGTTCCCACACTAGAATTGCGCCATGTACTGATGTAGAGCCTAGTGATCACACATGTCATGTGTCACGTATCAAGACACGCTTATGTACATGCACAGCACTACAAATAACATTGGCGATCTCCATCAACACAAAGGTGCCACGTTAATACTATAACAGTAACCGTCGTTGACGCGTTGATCATTTACATAAATGATATTGCACTAATCGACGACGACATGATAAATGCCGGCCAAACATCGCCGTAATGAAAAATACCTGCACGAGATTCGCCATTATGGTCAAGTGAACAGTCTTTCCTGCAACGAAACATGCATGTACAGCCGGTAACCGGTGCCCTGGGTCATGTACCCTGTCAATCAGGGCAATGTAATGATTTGTTTGCCTAAATACTGCCACTCCTCGTTGTAAAATTTTTGAACTGTGGCCACAGCGTCATCAATTAATTCTATTTAAGTTTTGATATCATGTAAAACTTGATGAACGCATTTATTTTTCTTCTATGCATATGCCATGGCATGGGAACTTGAAAGCTGCGATTTCCATGATATGTCATAGGTCATGGGTCATAGCTATCCCATAATTCACGACCACGTGAATCGACACATGTTGTGGTGATCTGTTGTTGTGTTCAGTCATATCAAGATAGTAATCAAGCCACAGACAGAAATGTTCAGAAACGTCGTGTCGCAGGTACCTATTAATAGAGTTAGATATGTACATAAACAGGATATACAATATCCAGAGCATTGCGGCACAGTGTCAGTGTCGACTGTCGCAGTGTCGGTCATACCTGGCCCCTAGCTCCAAGAAACGGTATTGGCTATTGCTACTGCTAGGGTTAGAATACCGGTAGAATAGCTACCGTTAGAATAGGTGTATTGTCAATTGGACGTTAGTCACACAGCCTGGTCGGGTTAACCTGACCCCTAGCCATTGCCCCTACGTTGGAGATACAAAAGACATGTAAAGTGTATTTCATTGCTCAGTAGACAGTACTAAAAGTAAAAGAACAGCTATTTTCCCTCTAGCTCATTCCAACCCTACAGAGAGAGTTCTGCACATCGGCTACGTTACGACAAACCTATGAGAAATGTGAGTATGCAGTGCCAGTGGCATAGCTAAGTCATTATGGAGGTGTGGGGGGGGGGAGCAAAGCCATGCACAGTTTGTGCTAGGGGCATTTATCTGGGAGGGGGCAAGTGCCACCCGCCCCCCGTTTCCATTCTAGCTATGACCCTTGTCTGTCGATGTAGTTCACATGTAGATGCTTCAAAATACACATCCGTTTGTTTGAAATATATCGATATGTATATACATTTGCATGTCTATGTCAATCCCAATATCTGCATGTTACCATGGGTGTGTCGTCTTATCGAGTTGCCTGTCTTTCTGTCTGTCCATCAATCTGTCTGTGCATTCCTCAGTCTTTCGAGATTTATTTGTGTATGTGTTGTGTATGTGTTGTGTTTGCTGCTGCAGGTATAAATCAGGTAACACTACTTGGAAGAGTAGGTGCAGATCCAATGCTGCGAGGAACTGAACAGCACCCAGTTGTAATATTCTCCATGGCAACAAACATGGTGTACACAGATGCCAATCAAGGTAATTAACAGTCAACATGTTCTATGTGTAGCAGTTCAACAAAAAACAACAACGAAGTGATTAATATCATGCAATGACTATGTAGTTAGAACGTAATATTGTAATTTGCTTTGTTATAGAGCGGACACAGAAGGCAGAGTGGCATCGCATCAGTATATTTAAGCCCACTCTCAGAGAACCAATGATGAATTACCTGAAGAAAGGGTAAGCATCGTTACTATATCTTCTGTGCACCTTGTACAATTCAAGTGGTTGTTAATGAACTGGAGAATACACAGGGATTGTAAAACAAGCGAGTGTTGTCGTTTGCATGGTTTAGGCAGCTTATCTCTTTACAAAACGTACTTATGTGTCATGTTCATGTCACTATCGCAAATGTATGTCACGTATATGTGACCTGTATGTGACATTATGTGAAATAAGACTCATGTTTCGCTTACATGTGCCATATACTTCAAGTTATGTCATTCATAAGCCACGAGTAGGTAGGGCAGGAATCTCGTGTGGTTTACACGTTACACGCGCATCGGATTTCGAGTGATTTGAACCTACATCGCTGCTACATTGCTGTGTAATCATGTGTGTTTCAGCATGCGTGTTCACGTCAGCGGTCGGCTGAGTTACGGAATGATCACAGACGCGAGCGGCGTACAGAGGAGTACAACCAGCATCGTTGCCGGTTCGTATAGCGGCGGTTTGCCGCACGTTTCCGAGATTACAGAAACCCGTCATTCGAGTGGATGTGTATTTTCTTGCTCATTATCGTTGACTTGCGTCAAAACGGATTTTCAATCTTTCCATTGTTGTCTACTAAGTGTGATAAATAGGGAGTAAGCATTTATTCTCTAGATGGAGAATTATATTATTTTGCTGGGCATTCTCTGCATTTATAACTAGAATTATTTTTAATCAAATTTATATAATGACCTTACACAGGTAATCTAAGTCACTCAATTAGCTGTGGCATTAGTTGTAATATTAATGGCTTTCAAATTATAAAAAACATTGATGAACAATTTATTATTCCTTTTGCCAATAAAAATACTGTTATTTCGTTGCAGATGATGTCATATTCCTGAGCAGTTCACGTGACAGTGGGCAAGATTTGGCAGCGAGCACCGACGAACCATTATAGAACTCGATGCATGTTTTCTTGGCATTCCTTGTCTTAAGTTGGTATATATTCAACCAGTGTCATAGTGTAGATTGGACTGTAGCAGCAACATATGCTGTTTAGTGTGCCTTGTTTTGGCTGAATGCCTGTCGTTAAAACGGGTATGGCTATCGTGTGAGAAAGTTGTCATGAGCGCTACCATGAACGTATCTGTATGAGTATGTTCACGTTTTTGGTGCTACAGCAACCTAAAATATTGGCCCAGAATCGTGTTTTACAGTTAAGGTGTTTATGAAGGATAGAGTATTGTGGCCAATTTTAGCATTCCTTCAGTCATGGGAACCATGCAGATAAATTTCATTGTGGATATCATGTTGTCTTTTATATACGAAAGTTTACAGCAATCGTCGAAGAGATAAATAAATGTAAACGTCCAAGTAGTTCACGTGATGTTAATTGTCAAAGGATCCTAAATAAAACGATAGTTTCATTTGTATAAAATATCTGTATAATTTTTTCTCCAAAAAATCCAAGAATTAAAAAATTCATTTTTTGCTATTTGTATGCCATGCAAATAATATAGGGTACATTCAAACACGGAATCCAAGCTGTTTTTTTAATGAATTTTAGACATTTATTAGATAAATAATATACACAATATTACTTGCTAAAAGTTGCTGTAATAATTATAGATTTAAATTTTTACACGTACGCCATGATGGTACTTGGACGTTGCTAAGAGAGTTGCTGCCTACCGCGCGAAATGTGTTTGACGATGCTTGCGGCCATGCTTCACGATGCACGTAGCTAGCATCCGCAGCAAACTATCGTGTCATGTCACTGACAGGATTTCGTATGCAGATCGAATATGCGAGGTTAAACGTAATTTTGATTTGGGGAAAAAATGTCCGGCGCAGCCCTCTTCACACACTGCCACCATTACAACCATAGACCCCTGTCACAGTGAATGCTAGATTGCCAAAAACCAACGTGTATATAATATACATACATACATATATATATATACATATAGCTGTTGCAGCGGCAGCACTTTAACCTGTTAAGACCTACAACACAAATCGTGTGCTCTTGCTGCTGTGCTGGAAGCTTCTCTCTCTACTGCATAAATGCACGCAGCTCGGACGAAACCCCTGACAACTCACCGCCCCACGAGACCAACGAAGAAATATATCTACGACGAGAAATTGCCAGTTCGTGTACAGATTCCTGTTACGACGATCACTCACAATATTCCACTTATAACAAGTTGCTCACATGAACTCATGATTTCACTACGTCCGGCTGGGGACAAATTACATCCAGCCATTAAAAAGAAAAAGAAAAACGACACTTCATGAGGTTGAAATATACATGCTCCTGGAATTTAAGTTATTGTAGAGATGAACATAACACTCGTGATAAAATGCTACTTTGATCTTTTTGGCACCGTAAAATAGACTTGCATTTATGTATGAAGCAACAGTTAATAACCAACGAAAACAGCAAAATATTATTTAGACAAATTTAAAGACAAAAAATATGCTGTTACCGTCGGGGGGAAAAAATACTTTAGTAACATCGTGTGCAAACGTTGTGATTGTGCTTATCACAAAATCTGTCAATTATCTTCTAGGAAGAATTCGATCGAAGGATCGAACTCTCAATAAAACATTCTCGCTGTCCTCGATCTGCAGTTATGCGACGAAAGTTTACGGCGCGACAGACGCCAATAGCGAGCGAATTCAGTAGATTACACATTCACAAGTTACATAACCTTGACACAGACGCCATCGACCCTGACCGACTTGCTCTGCGGGAATGCATAGAGAGCCGAGAAGAAAGCGACGAAACGTGCAGTGATACACATCGTCGATAGGATAGAACTACCCTATCTGCCTGCTGTGCGTGACATCACGCAGCCATAGCCAATCAGCGTTGCGATAGAACGTTCTAAAATAACGAGTAGCAGCGAACTGCTGCATATCCGCCATTTTGGCGTGCACACGCGTGACAAACCGCCTACAAACTGGGCGAGACTGACCGACCGAACGACCAGGCAACAATGTCCTCTGACAGGGCGTGTGGATAATTCGCTCGCACATACGTCCATTCATTAGATTAAAGGACAGATGAAACACCGCCACTCAAGGTGATAGCAGTAAGTGTGAAAACCATTTGCATCCCACTACATCTGTCAACAGTAAGGGTGTGCGTGGTTCACACACGATCATCGCTTCCCACACGCTTTATGCATCCCTCGCAGAGCCCGCGATCGAAGACGGCAAAACTTAAACACAGTGGTCACCTTCGTCGAGCCGACTCTCGGGAGTTTGTACTACGCTCTCCGTCCGCACCGGCTCTCCTCACGCGTGCACTAATGCCGCGGCGTGCGGAGAGGCGTCGCGGCGCGCACGGAGAGGCGCCGCGGCGCGTATGGAGAGGCGCCGCGGCGTGTACGGAGAGGTGCCGCGTACGAAGCTCCCCCGAGCCGGAAAAAACTCACAACAACACGAGAGTACGATAATCGAAACCAAAATATATAACTTTTCATCTTTTAGGTACAACAACGATAACAACAATGGCAACAACAGATTCCAAGCCGATTAATGCGAATTCCTCCAACCAGAATGCGGCACATGCATTCATCTCTCTTTACATTACACTGTACAATGCAACAATGGCTCATTGATTCTAGATGACAAAATATGGGAATTGCTCCCTCTTCACATAAAATAGGGTAACGATGATTCACAAAGCAAAGGATTTAAGATTCTAATAGGATAAATCTCAAATAAAGATATATGATAGACGAATGCCAGTGATGACCTGGCATGTTAAACTCTCTCTGTCTTTATTTGTCTCACTATCTCTGCCTGTCCCTGTCTGTCGTTCTCCCTCTCACACACGTGCGCACACGCACGTACAGATACACACACCCCTTCCCTCTCAAACTTTTGTTCACTCACACACGTGCTCCCTACCTCTTTTGTCTTTCTGCACCTTCCCTTGCCCTTTCCTCTCTTATTTCTCTCTCCCCTACCCTCCTTTCACAGTTTATCACTCACACACTCTTCCTGACTCCCTCAATCTGTTTCTCTTTCTCTCATTCTCTCTCTCACACACACTCACTCTCTCTCTCTCTCTCTCTCTCTCACCTCACCTCCCTCGCTGTTGTCTCACCATCAGTATAAGCCTACTTCCTGCAGAACTCCCGTCTCTTGCTAAGACCCACTAGGAAGGCATAAAAATACATTTTACGAATGTCGTGAATGACTGGCAAATATAACGCCGCCTCGTCTCTCTCGCACGCGTCTGCCGCCCGGCCGCCCGGCCATGCGACGACGCCTGGAGAGGAAGGGGAGAGGGGAGGAGACGGTTCGCATCTCAACAAGTTTCTCCTTCATCCCCAACAAATGACGCTCCGGCACGGTAAAGCCGGCCGCCGCGCGACCCGGGTTCAAAGGTCAAACAGTTTACCGCAGAGGTCGAGCCAGCAGACGCCGCCCCGACATCCTCATAGGAACAGTCACCACTGCGGCTGCGTCGCCGCGGCAACGGACTCTCCATGGCGACCCTGCGACTACTCGTACTGCGTCTGCGGGTTTGCGCCGTTCTTCTTGGAGCTCTTGCGCTTGAAGCTGCCGCCGACCGATCGCTGCTTGCACACCTGGTTCGCTGAGCCGTGCCGCATCCTGTTCGTCGCTCCGTTCGCCTGCGAGTACTCCAGCACCTGCGCAGAGAGGACGCGTGAGAGAGAAAGACAGACATAAGCGGCGGCAGGCATCTCAGGTTCGTGGTTTCCGCGCGCGATCTCGGACGACCGCTCGGTTGGCGTTTCGCCGAGACGCGCGCCCCCGACACGAGACCGATTCCCGCGAATTCCTCGATTTCTTAAATTTCGTCTGAGTTAGTCGTTACTCGTAACCCTTGCGCCTGCCAGAATCGCGCATTTATCCGCAAGCATCCCGTCTCATCCCGTGACCTGGCTTACTCGTTATCTCGCTTAACCCCATGACCTCCCTCTGACCCTGTTGATCCCTGCGACCTCCCCCTGACCCCACTTACCCCCGCTTTCCCGCTCACCCCTGCGACCTCCAGCTGACCTCGCTTACTCCCGTGACCTCCCCGTGACCTTGCTTACCCCCGTGACCTCCTTCTCGGTCGGGGAGCTCAGCGTGAGGCTGGACATGGAGGAGGAGAGGTTGAGGTTGGAGGAGACGGAGAGTGTGCTCGGGTACTGCGACAGCTGCTCCGCATCGTCCCCGGGCAACCCCGTCTCTACCATCGCCTCGAGGCAGTTCACAAACAGCTCGGCGTTGTCGGGGCTCGCCGTCGTCTGCAACGAGAAACAAGCGAACGTCACAAACAGCTCGGCGTTGTCCGGGCTCGCCGTCGTCGGCAACGAGAAACAAGCGAACGTCAAAGATGCATGTTGTCGGCAACGAGAACAAGCGAACGCGTAGAAACACCCGACGTCGGCAACAAAAAAGGGGGGCGTTGCAAACGAGGGTTGCTCACTGACGCCTGCAATAAACAAGTGAACGGCTAGAAACGCGGGTCGCACACCGTCGTCTGCAACAAACAAGTGAACAACCACAAACATCGCTGCTCGCCATCGGCTCTGACGAACAAGTGAGCGTTAGAAACGTGGCTACATCAGACAGTACAGGAAATCACGTTGAAAACGGGAACCGGCAATGCGTGTTGAGTCGACCTGAGCACTCACCTTGCAAAAAGGCCCCGCAAACCGCCAAAGCCCTCCGAATCCACAGCCTGCAACGTATGAACCACACGTAAGTACACCGCACCGATACGACAGCCAGCAATCACAGTAGACAAGTCAACCCGAAAAACATTTCCCCATTTTCCAAAACCTGAGCCAGAGCGTGACTCTGCCCCCGCCCCCGCCCCCGGCCCTCCTCCGCCCCCGGCCCCGGCGCGGCAGCGTGGCAGACGTACTTTGCAGGTAGCTGAGCTGCAGCTGCTGCGAGGACGAGTCTTCGTATGCGATCATGTTCTGGATGATGCTCTGCACAGCGTTCAGGATTACCTGGTCGTGGCAGAGTGCCAGCACGCTGTTGATCTTAGCGTCCACGAGGCTGTGTCTGCAAGCGACGACAGACGCACGGACGGACGGACGGTAAGCATTTTTTTGATATACAACGTATACGTGACAATTCCCCCCGTTAGCGTCGTAGTTAGGAATCCCGAAAACCACGACAAAGATGGACGGTGAATAAAATATTTTTTTTTACCAACTTTTAGTGTTTTTAGGAATTTTTTTACAAATTGCCCCATTAATGTCGTTGTTAGGTTCCTGAAAACCGCTAGTTTAACCGAAACGACGTTACATGAAACCGTTAAAAATGTTTAAGTTTTAAACTCGTTAAAATAAATTTTACGAATAAAAATAAAGTAAAACATCTGTTGTAAAGTAAAGGGTTAAATTTTCTGAGTTTATAGAAAGTTCTTCATCAAACTGCACTGAGCAAAAGGTGACGCCCCCCACAGTCCCTGGATCGCGTCGCGATGTCGTTGCCACGGCGACGCGACGCATCTACTCACATGACGGGGAAAACTTTAGGGAAGACGACGGATGCCTCGGCGAGATACTCGTAGAGAATGCGCGCCTCGTTCTCATCCGTCGTGTTACGCACCAGTGTCGCCTGCATGGAGAGAGAGAGAGAGGTACGCTGAGCGGGGACAGCTAATGGAAGGAGAGAGGGAGAGAGAGAGAGAGAGAGAGAGAGAGAGAGAAAGAGA